TGTGAGTTTATTCTGTGCCAGGCCCTGTGCTCAGTGCTTTGACCTCATCATCTCACTAATCCTTAGAATCTCTTGAGGAAGAGATAGTATTACTCCCTCTTTATTGATGGGGGTTCGGAGTTTCAAATACTTAACTGCCTTGCCCAAGGTCACCCACCAGATTGGTGCCCTCTGAATCTAAGCCTGGCTAGGGCCCAAACCCTATCTCTTTCACAGTCTTTGTGTCTGTGGGAGCCAGAATATCTTTGGCTACCTAAAAGGGAGAGGTTCGGTGTATTAACTAATTAGGCTTCATGCTACCAAGCAGTATAAGCAATTCTTTGCCTGATTTTCTTTCTTCAGTGAATTTACTAATTTTTTTCACAAAATTGACCACATCAGCTAGTTATGTTAATGGTAAATCAAATTATGCTGTTCATTTTTTCCTTTTACTAAGTCTTTAAGTGTCAGGAGTCTGGCAGCCACTCATTAATTGTGAAATCCTGGGCAAGTGCTTGACCTCTTCAAGCTTCTATCACTTTATCAGTAGAAATGCAGATTATAGTAATTTCTATCTAGTTTAGCTAATGAGATTAAATGGAGAAAACTCTTTAGATCCTAACTCAATACCTGACCCTAAGGAGTTTTATTAAGTAATAACTGCTATTTTATCATTGTAGTTGTTAACCGTAATGTTATATTTTGCTATCATTTTTGTTCTAAGACTTTTACTTGCCTCCTTGACCTACATCCTTCAGCTTTCATTGAAGGCAGGCAGAATTACTTACTTGTTCCTTATTGGACATTGTGGAGTTTAAATTTTGTCTTACAAATTGACTCAGGTCTCTTATTCCCTATCCTTTCTTCTGATTGCAGGCACTTTGAATGAAGTTCATTTGTCTTTTTATTACCAGTCTTTTCATATTGTCTAGATTCTCTGTGATGTTTGTTAAACTGAATGACTAGATCATGTGCCTAATCATAGTGAATGGATAGATCAGTTCTCTTTTGTGAATTGTAGTTAATATCATTTATGGTATTCCATTGGTTTTTTAATTGAATTTATTGGGGTGACATTGCTTCACAAAACCATACAAGTTTCAAGTGTACAGTTCAACAAAACATTATATGTACACTGCACCATGCATCTATCGCCCAAAGTCATCTTTTTTGTTCCTATTTATTCCCCCTTTGCCTACCTCTACCTGTGCCTCCCCCTTTCCCTCTGGCTGTCACCACACTGTTGTCTGTGTCTATGTGTGAAATATGTACATGTGTGTGTGTATATATATATATTTGATATGCTCTTTATATGTATCATTTGTGTATGTCATTTAATGCTGGCACTCTATCAGTCTCTTTTCATCTGAATATGCCTTGCTACTTATATTCTTGACCCAGATCTCTTGCTTTCTGTAAAGGTTTTTGCTGCCTATACAGTAGGTATTTTTATTTTATTTTTCTTATAGGTTTTTTTTTCTTGCTAGTGATATATTGCAAACTTGTTTCCTGCCATTACTGCCATAGGACATCATAAAAAGTTTGTCTTACTTTCACTTAAACTTTTATTTCCCACATCTCTTTAAGGTATACATTTTACTCTTTTTCCCCATCATTAATACATTACCATTTGACTCTATCATTAGGCTGTCAATCTGTAAAATTCTTGAAGAGGAAAGAGAGGCCTTATTTTAAATAGGCCTGATACTTTGCTAAAGATGTTGGTGCACTATCTACAATTCTATTCTTGTCAAGAAAATGCTTTTGAAATTTTAAGAAGTGAAATTTAGAAAAGCTACAAAACCAGGGAAGATTTAGGGTACATAAAAATAAATAAAAGAAGGACAAAATCCACTATTAAATTCTCGGGAAGCTCCTTGCCTTATTTCAAAATAACTAAATATGTAATGAGGAGGAATATCCTGAATGGAGAGACTGAGGTTCTAGGCATGAAAATCTACCTATGGGAAAAATGGTAGTTGAAGGTTATAAGCCAGAGTTCTATTCCATTGTTAATGAAAAATGAAACACTATTAAATGTGAACTCTAGGTTAAGGTAATAGAGATTGGAGTTTTGGCCTGCATATAAAAATGAAGGGGAACATTTAGTAACCATTCCCAAAGAAACGGTATATAAATGTTGGTAAGTGGCAGTTTCTCCATTTCCAGTTAAATTCAGTTGAGACAATATGCCAGAAGTGCAACAGGAAAGATTTATGTTAAAATTCAGACAGTTTGTCTGGTCTCTGAGGTCCTCAAATATGTTACTAAGCAGGGCAGGACTTGCCCCACAAACAAGACTGGAGAGTTTTCCAAGATTCCCAGTCATTAGGCAGGGTTTCCAGGGACAGCACTGCCACAGCCTCGACTATTCTCTGAGATAATCTGACTTGATTCATGGAGAAACTATGGAATTTTATCAACTTCAAACTTTACAATAAAAGGTGGGTTGCAGCCAAGCAAGGGAATAAGATAGTTCTTTCTGAAAATGGGGGCTCCGACTATCCCATTTGGCTCATAACTCTATAAATGCTAGAGCAAATGAGAAACTGCAGTTAGCTCTCTTTGCCAGACAGGGGAGGAATTTATATATCTGTTTAAAACAGAATGATTTTCAATGCAAAGGAATTGATAAGTTTAGAAAACAAAGTTTCATATTGGGAATCACATGTATAGACAGAAAGGGGGGTAGGGCTGGAGGAAGTATGCTCCTTAAGCTGCTTCCATGAAAAACTTCAATCAACTGCTAGTTTTTGTTTCACAAAACTTTGACACATATCTCTTGACCTTTACCAACTACCCTTTCACGTTTGACACTTAACGTTTGCTACATAATTACAATTCACGTTAATTAACTTCAACACTATCAGTTAAGTTATATTTAGCTAAGAACACTCACTTTTGTCTTTTGTGAGTAGCAGCACAGTATTATTACAAAGAGGTAGTCAGGAGGGCAACAGAGATGGGAGAAGAATGATTCAGTGTGCAGATAATTGTCTCGAGTGAAATTTAGCTCGGTATTTTTGTTCCTGTCCTCAGTAGAACTGAGATTTAGCACCTCGCATTGGCATTTAGCCCCCACCCCCACATAGGAGGAGGCTGTGTTGGGCGGGTGCTGAGAACGAGCCACACCAGAATTAAATTATAGCACAGTTCTAACACTGGCAACAATTTCTCTGGCCAGCTCTTGGGTGAAAAGCTGGTGATTCCAAAAGAGAGGCAAGGCATCCCTAGAAAGGATCTCCATATGGAGCGGCCTCACTCTCAATGAGAGGAGCTGACATGGTTGTTGTTTAAGAGCATGTCACCAAAAAAATGCTGACCATTTCCCCCTCTCCCAAAACAGTGGGAGCCACAATATTTATTCATAACAGAGTTAATAGTTCTAATCTTATAAAGTTACCCATGAGATTGTCTTTTTGGTGGATTATTCCATAATGGGCCCAAAAAACTTAATAGAAATGGATAAAATCCAAGATATTTGACCTCTCTCCCTGAGTTTTCCAAGTGAGAAAGCATTTTTGTTAGTTTATGTATTGCATGCTCTTTTGCTTTGTGAAAAGATTACATAAGAATATGGATATGCAAATTTTACTTTCACCTGAAGCTCAAAATACAAGAGAACCATTACAACTTGCCATTCTTTGGGATGTTAGAATGAAATTGTGGTCCACTAGTTTACTGTGCTACTGAAATACTTTTGTCTTATAGATCCATGTACAAAACAGGAAGAGAGAGGCTCTCCACTGGTAGACAGTGCAGGTGAAACACACTGTAAACCATCCATGTATGTCTCACTGAAGATACAATAATAGTAAATTGAAATATTTTTAGATTTTTGAAATAGGTAGCCTCTAGTTGTTAAAAAACAAACAAAAGAAAACAATTTTGTAGCATTTTTATTTGCAGGATTATAGAATATTTTGCCTCCAGTAATTAAACTTTTATGTCTAGAATCTAATTCCATGCCTTTGTCTCATCCTCTTCCTATAGTTGGAGGGCACAATTCCTGGCAGATCTTGTTTCCTCCCCACCCCATAGGAAAAAATACAGCCTGTCTATCCCAAGGATTTGAGTAGCTCTGGTTCAGCAGTCAAGTAGTTCAGCATCAAGTCACATTTCTGTTGGTTGGGCACCGATTGATTGTTGCTGTCCTAGTAACTGGCCTTGAATCTTAACCCTGAGACAAAGCCCGTCTTGTGTCCTTGATGGGATGCCAAATACCTCTCTTGGTCCCCATGCATGCGAATCTAATCGGCCCTCTAAGATGAGGTCTCTGGCTTTTCCTTTTTTTTTTTTTTTCAGTTGTCTCCTCCCACTCCCACCATCCTCCACTGACTGCAGGATAGTGGAATCCTAGTTATGAAATCTAGTCTTATGATTAAGATCTTATGATCATTGAAAACATCGCTTGCTTCAATTTCCTGCTCAGGCCTCTGAATTGGGCCTACTCTGGGATATTTGTCAGCTGGCTCTGCTCATTGCTTGTCACAGCAGCCTTGAATCTGTCCGTTTTCACAAGTCCCTAGGCCTTCTGGATACTCTGATTCACCTTTCAAACTGTACTGACTCCCCACATCTTCCACTGAAGAAATTGCCAGGAGCATATGTGCCACTCCAGGGAGCTCCTCTGTTACAAGTTTGGTTCCTCCTGGCTTGTCCTGAAGTTGACCTTGGCCAAATCCTGCTATGAAGTAGTGCAGGAAGAGGCTAAGCTTTAATATTTAGAGGATCGGATATAGATGAAAGGTGGAAATATCATAGCCTATATTTAGGAGCAAATAGTATTTTCAAGAAAGGGAAAACTTTGAGTCTTTTATTTTTCTCGTAGTTTCAGTTGGTATACTATAAAATAGAAACATTATTTTTGTATCAAACATTTACTTTAAAAAAATTTTAAGTATTTTTGTATTTTCCAATATCTTTCTTTAATGGACTGAATTGGTAGCTTTCCATGTATCTTGAGATTGAAGATAATTTCATTTTGTAATTTATTTTTCTCTCTGTTTTTACATTTCAAGGTATTACACAACGGCCTAATTATGGAACTGAAACATCCAACTGTGGGAAAGATATCAGTCCCAGGTTTGAAAATTTTTATTTTTTTAACAGTTTCCTTAATAAATTTTTCATTATGTTGATCACCACAGGTAGCTGATGATCCCCCAAACAACTTGTGAAGACATTGTCCAAAGTTTTCATTTTGGATAAAAGTTAGAATCACATCCCCAAGAAAGCATGCTGAGACTATAGGATTGTGTGTTTTCTCAACAAATGTCTGAATATCTTGGTGACAACAAAATGCTATTATTACCTAACTTGACGTTCGGTAATCATATGCTCACAAAAGTACATTATGTATTTTCCAGCAGATATATAATGATAGATGTGGCAAATATTATGAAATTGCATGTGGTTCATATGAGAATGAGAAAGGAAGTTAGGCTCAATAGAGGTGGTGTCCAATGGAGGTTACTGACTGCTCAGACCAAAGCATTTTTCTTTCTAAGCTATTATTTTAGAGTATTTATCTTAGCTTTGTAGATCAAGAAATTAAATGTTTTCAGTAAACTCAGAATATATTGAATTCTTGTAATTTGACTCATACAAAACATGCTCACCAAAGAATTTTGGCCTACGCCAAAATGCTAACTTCATACTTCGGGAGTAGTTCTCTTTCTTTGTAGCCAGAAGCCTCATGCCTGCCTACTCTCAGAGCATTCAAATTGTAGTGAGAGCTTATGAACAATCTGCTACCATCCACAGACTTCACTTCTCTAGTGACTGTAATATGACCATTCCTCAGATCTGTTATCTCCCCTGTGGGAATTGCTGGAAAAACACTCCATATTCTTGTTCATTGTGTCTCTATTTTACAGACTATACACAAACAATACACTTATTTTTTTTTCCTTTCTTATGATAGAGGATAATGAAATTAGCTAGGATATAACTTTTGTCACAGTTTTTCTGAAACCATATCCTGGTCACCTTGCTTGAAATTTGGGTATTTCCCAAACTCTTCAGTCACTGCAGTCAAATGATATAAAACATTTACTTCTACAGGTTTCAGGTCTCATTTAATGAATAATTGCACTGTTAATTTTATTTTCTTTTTAAAGTATATATTATTGATTATATTATTATAATTATCCCATTTTTTCTCCTTTTTATCCCCCCTCTGTCCTGTACCCCGCTTCCACCAGCATTCCCCCCTCTTAGTGCATGTTCATGGGTCACACATACAAGTTCTTTGGCTTCTCCATTTCCTATACTATTCTTAACTCCCCCTTGTCTATATTGTACCTACCAATTGTGCTTTTACATAATTGTACAATTATTCCCTGTACCTTTTCCCCATTCTCCCTCTTCATCCTCCCCACTTATAATCCTCCATGTGATATCCATTTCTGTGATTCTTTTCCTGTTCTAATTGTTTGCCTTTTTGTTTTTGCTTTTTAAGTTGTTGATAGTTGTAAGTTTGTTGTCCTTCTGCTGTTCATAGTTTCGATTTTCTTCTTTTTCTTAGATAAGACCCTTTAGCATTTCATATAATAAGGGCTTGGTTGATCATGAACTCCTTTAACTTTACCTTATCTGGGGAGCACTTTATCTGCCCTTCCATTTGCTGGATAGAGTAATCTTGGATGTAGGTCCTTGCCTTTCATGACTTTGAATACTTCTTTCCAACCCCTTCTTGCCTGTAAGATTTCTTTGGAGAAATCAGCTTAGTCTTATGGGAACTCCTTTGTAGGTAACTCTCTCCTTTTCCCTTGCTGCTTTTAAAATTCTCTCCTTATATCTAATCTTGGGTAATTTAATTACAATGTGTCTTGGTGTGTTCCTCCTTGGGTCCAATTTCTTTGGGCCTCTCTGAGCTTTCTGGACTTCTTTGAAGTCTATTTCTTTCACCAGGTTGGGGAAGTTCTCTTTCATTATTTCTCGCTCTTCCTCTTCTCCTTCTGGCACCCCTGTGATTCAAATGTTGGAACATTTAAAGTTGTCTTAGAGGTTCGTAAGCCTCTCCTCATTTTTTTGAATTCTTGTTTCTTCGTTCTGTTCCAGCTGAGTGATTATTTCCTTCTGTTCCAAATCATTGATTTGGGTCCTGGTTTCCTTCTCCTCACTCTTGGTTCCCTGTATATTTTTCTTTATTTCACTTTATATAGCCTTCACTTCTTCCTCTATTTTGTGTCTGTACTCAGCCATTTCTGTGAGCATGCTGATTACCAGTGTTTTGGACTCTGCATCTGACAGGTTGGCTATCTTCTTGTCACTTAGTTCTTTTTCTGGAGTTTTGATCTTTTTTTTTTCATTTTGGTCATATTTCTTTGTCTTGGTGTGCCTGTTACATTGTAAGGGGTGGAGCTTTAGGTATTCATGAGGCAGGGCAATCTACTTTGCTGAGTTGTGGCACTGTATGTAGGGGAGGAGTCGGAGAGGGAACAATGCCAGTTTCTTGGCTCTCGCCCTGCTTTAAGTCACTTCCCCCGTTACCCACAAGCAAATTGGCCCTTCTGGTGCTGATTCCTGGATGGGTAGGCTTGTGTACATTCTATGACCCTGTGAGTCTCTCCAACAAACTTTCTGTGAGGCTGGGGGTTTCTCCCACCATGGCAACCCCCACAGGTTTATAGCCAGAGGTTTTGAGGCTTTAGTTTCCCATGCTGGAACCCTAGATTGTGTTGTCTGTCCCTCTCCCCAGCTGATCCTCCCGGCTTATCCAAACATGAATGTGGAACTGCCTTGTCCATCAGCTGCAGCCTCACGTGGCCTGGTCTATTGCTTGGTATGCATCCTCTCTGCCCCGACGGCCTGTTTCTGCCCTTCCAAACAGTCTGGATGAATGCTTCTTCCTTAACTCCTTGGTTGTTGAACTTCCATACAGTTTGTATTTCTGGCAGTTTTGGTTGTTTTTTGTTTTTAAGTTTGCCGTTGCCCCTCTTTTGGTTGTGCGAGGAAGCAGAGTATCTACCTACGCCTTCATCTTGGCTGGAAGTTCTGTAAGTATGAATAGTTGCATTGTTAATTTTATTCAAGGTATAATATCATTCTAAGATTTGGGATCAGCTTGACAGTAATGTCTGAGAATACTTCAAAAAATGGCTATTGACATGTTAAAAAAATAAGAGGGAATTATGATAAATAAAACACATTGAAATAGAAAATTCTAATGCACAGGAATATAAGGAACACTACACATGAATTAAAGGAGGTAGCTAAGAGAGCAAGTAGGTATAAGCATATAGATACTGGAATCACATGTTAATATAGAAATGCTATATCATATTGAAAGGCAGTGGAAAAACATATTAATAAAAGCTAAGCAAGTCATTTATTCCTTCATATTATTGAGCAAATACTATGTCTCAGGTGATGCTTTGGGTCATTGGAATGCAAAAATAAACCAGATATCTTGGCCCCTCACCACATAGAGCTCATACTCAATGGAAAGTCAGATAATAAAAGCAACCAACAAATGTTCCCATAACTAAGTTATGGTAAGTGCAAGGAAGGGAAACAAACAATGTGCTCTCACAGAGAATAATGGGGACAGAAGTCACCTATGTTAATTTATTTGATCAGAGAAAGCCTCTCTGAGAGGTTGATTTATAAACTGAGAATTGTGGTATATAAAGGAGTCAACATTTGATGAGCAGGGGCAGAGCATTCTAAGCTGAAGGACTGCATGTGAGAAGACTCTGAGATGGGAAGGAGCTGGGTGCATTTTAAACAGTATGAAAGATGAGGAAAGGAGGAAGCCCCACTAAATCTGGTTTTAGTCTAGTTTTAAGCAGGAGAGTGAAATGATATAATTTATAACTTAAAGCAGGGAGTCAGGTTAGGAAGTTTTTAAAGGAGTTCAGGTGATGATATCTTAAATTAGGTCATGGTACTAGCAAAAAAGCAAAGGGAGTGGTCAAAAATGTAATGATAGAGCTTTTGGTATGAAAGGACTTTAAAGGGCATTTTGTTTAGTAGTTTTTAACTTTAATTTTTAAACAATAAATCTGATTCTCCATGTGAAGTTTCAATATCTAAAACAGATCAAAACAGAGTTTTGCTGACTGGTAGGTTAGCACTCCAACTGTTTAGCTTTCTTTTGCTTTCACCATGCCCTCCAAATACCTCCTTAGAATCATTGGTCCTGAAGAACAATTCAAGAACCACTGACCTAATTTAATTCCATAAATTTAAATATGAGGTCTGTCAGTCATTGATATTCTCAATACATGAGAGGAAAGGGTAAACATTTGAAAGTTAGTACAATTGTTAGCATGTTAGTAAGAGGAAAACTAAGTCAGTGGCCAACCTAGAACGAAGTCACTGGATGTAATACTCTCATCAATCAGCCATAAATTTGTTGACTTTCTTGGTAAATGAATGAAGAATTGGCCTCAGGAAGAGGGAAATATTTTTTCAGATTCCTTGAAGGGGAAAGCATACCACTTTTGCTCACTTTAATTTATAAAAGTATCTGGTAGCTATAGTCACAATAATGCTGTGTAATAAATAACCACAAAAAAATTTCAGTGGCACTCAAACATAAGCATTTATTTATTCCATGGATGTGGATCCAAGTGGATTTGGCTGATCTGGGCTGGACTTGCTTGGGTGGCTTTTGTTACAGGTAAAGATCTGGTATCTTGTGGAGCCTTGTGCCCTCACTGTGAGTTAGGCTCAGTTCTGCTCCATGTGTCTCTCATGCTCTTCTCATGGCAATGGCAGGAGAGCATGAAGACAAGCAGAAACCACAGTGCCACTTACAACCTTCTGCAGAACTATTAGATTGTTCTTCCCTCATTCTTTTGGTCCAACCAAGTCTTATGCTGTATCCAAAGAGGTGGGGAAACTCTTTTTATGTGAAACTGCAAAGTTACATGGCAAGGGCTTTGGCATATGGAGGGGTAAATAACTGGGGTGAAAAGTTCAATTTACCACAATAAAATTCTCAAATCTATTGTCTTTTTTATCCTTATTTCTCTTTGGGAAATTTGATTTTTGTTTCTTTTATTTCTATAGAGATTAAGCATATTTTTGAGATGTCCATCTTATTGATTTACCTTATATCATCTCTATAGAAT